CAAAGGTGGGATGCACTTCAGCAAGTGGGGTTATATGTCCTTGTATTTGGGTTCTAACTTAGTTACAACTACCCATGAACCTCCAAGTAGGGTCCCATAATAGCGGTGCTTTGACTGGCTCAATAACAGGTCTCCAAGGTTTCCCTGGACCACGCCCCTGCTGAACCTTTCCCGAAAAGTTCAACTTTTGGCCCCCTGGCAAAAACTGAACAAATCCAAAGCCTTTTGTACAGAGACAGGTGGCGTGCGGACTAGGGCTCTAAAACTTAGATCCTGAAACACCTATGCGCCGAATCGCGAAGCCCAGCCACACCCTAAACCCGAAAGGCTACAACCGCTTCGGGCTGAACCACTGCGTCGCCCTGCTTTTAATCATCGCACCTCAGTCTTTGGATGGGGACGCTTTCCGAAAACAGGACATCTCCAAGCACAGACACTGGCAGGCAGCTTCAAGACTCTCAGCAGCAGGATCTATGCACAACAGCGCCGCGATGTCCTTCCTCGTCGGGAAGCTTCTTGCAAGACAGCCTCCAAGGCTCCTAGCCTCCGAGTTTGCAAGCAAGCAAGACAGTTCGTTGGGTCTAGGTAGAGATCGTGAAACGTAGCCCGGTCGGAGGCTCTGCTGAAGGGGGGCCGCTTTACAGTAGGACAGACTGGAGCGCTTGTACCCTAAACCCTAAACCCTAAACCCTATTCTTTTGAGCTCTGCTGCAGCCCCCCCCTGCGGATGCAAAGTATCCGCCAAGTCGAGGCTTCGAAAACACTCCTAGGAAAAATCACGGAAGGGAGCATCCAGCTAGCATAGCCTAGCAGGCGGATGAGTCCCGAAATATCTCTCACATTGGGCTCCCACGGGCATCTTCTGTGTAATGTGACCATCTTGGAAAAAATCTTGAAGCCTCCTGTTGCAAGGACCTCAGAATCAGGTACAGGCCCTAGAAAGAAAACAACAAATAACATCCAGAGCATCGCTAGTCCGACGAGAGCACATCTGTGACCGGATGACGCCCTTGTTCTTCGTAGGAGTGAGGGGTCGAGTTTAGGGGCTTAGGGGGACCGTATAGATTCGGAATCCATTCCCTCATCCCCTACGAAGCACCAGGGGGATGAATGGCAGGCTACGGCCACTGTGCGAAGGATTTCATTTCCGAATCCCACGCTTCAAGGAAGATTCGGATGGGAATCTGAGAGAACCCAAGAAACTTCCTCTGTAAACCCTGAAACAGTAGGATCCTTTTTATGAAGGCCCCTCTAACATATATATATATATGTATGTATGTAATAAGATAAATAATTAAACAACTACGTATACATATATACATATATATATATATGCTCACCCCCCCCCCCGTTGACAGACCGGGGGGGCGACCATATATATATATATATACATACATCTATATATATGTATATATATATATATACACATATATATATATATATGTGTGTATCTCTTGATTTGGGACTTTAGTTTTGAGAGTCAGCCTGTCGGCTGCAAAGCGTCGCCTTCATCCCATGGTCTCAGTTGGAGACCAGGACGAAGCCGGAATAACGAACCCTAAGAGTCCAAGTACCTCATCATCATATACTCTACCCTACCAAATAGTAACCTACGTAACTGGTATCCGAAACCTAAGTACCTGATTATTGGGTCCTTTGGACCCTTGCGGGAACGCATCCATCACTCTCTACAAGAAGCTTTATGGATATCTACAACCAGGTGTATCTGTGTAATACTTGTACATGGCTTTACATGACTGATAGACCGATGCAAAGGCGCAGCGTGGATAGCTGCAACAGCTGACTTGCATAGTTAGGTCACCTGTCGCCTGGCACTGTGGCGCAAAGCGCTCAACTCCTGCAGTATGACGGCCTTGCTGCGGCCCTCACACTTGTTCGCAGCCGTCAGAAGGATGCCGGAGAAGTTCATGCGCTGAAGTACCTGGAGCTCGAAATCTAGAACCTTGAGCAGTCTCCAACACCCTGAAGCCCCGAGCAGCACAATGCAACAACGCCCGGGTTTCTCAAGCCACTTCTCATACTCGAGATGCTATGCTTATGACATGACTCGTGAATTCTATAGCCTTAGGGGCTGAGTACCCTGGCCCAAAAAAGGTCAATCTTTTGAATTTTTGGTAGGAATATATCGAAATTTTTTAAGCTCCACAAGGTTAAAGGTTACCTACTCAGCCCCTAAGTAGCGAAAGCCTAAGTCTGGCTCGGCACCTGTCGCAGGTTGTGAAGCTTGCGAGACTTCGTCTGCAAACGACCTGGAAGTCCTGAATGGACGGAAAGAACCTCGTCTCGTGGGCTTCTACTAGAAGGAATCATGGGACTTAGTAAGTAGGGTTATAATTAGGGTAACTATACTTATAAACCCAATTAAGGGACGCCTTACTTACTAAGTCCCATGATCCTCCAAGTAGGCTTCCAGTTTGGTGGGCGTTGGGTTTCAGAGGTCATGGAGGTTAGGGGTTTGAGTTGCGGATTTTGGGGCTTCTGGTCTGGATCAGGCGGCACTCATATGATGACGGCTATCAACGCTAAATCGACCGAGGCTCTGCCAGCAGGAAGCTCACATCATGGAGTCCATCTTGCTCGGCACGCTCCCGAAGTAGATCTGCGAGAAGGCCAAGGAGCTCTTGCCTGGGCATCGCGCTCATCAAAAGCCGCTGCTTCTTGTCGGGCTTCGGGTCATCGTGCTCGCAGTGGCAAAAGCCACAGGCCCAACCTTTCTGGCAGTGCCCCTGCCTTGCAACGCAAACGCATGGCTTGTTGCACAAGGCCGGGTGTCCCACACTGCCCCGACTGGGGACCGGCGCATCGACGATCCTTGCGCTCCGCCCTTGCCGCAGAGTGCGAAGATGACGATGCGCCCAGACGTCCTCTTAGGGGCTGAGTACCCTAGCCCAAAAAAGGTTATAACCTTTTGAATTATAGTAGGATCATATAAGACCCAGAAGGTTAAAGGATACCTACTCAGCCCCTGGGTCCTGCATAAGAGGCTCGGGGCGCGCCGATGTCCGGGTAGGCGAGAGGCTACGGAACCGAGCACGACGATCTGCACCATCCATCTTGCCATCCATCACGTCAAGGAAGGTGCAGCGGTACGCAAGTTGAGCTAGGGCCATGGCTCTGGTTGTGTTGATTCAGACCGTCTTCCACGATGTAGTGGCTGAACAGCTTTCGGCTGCGGGCAGTGGTTGCGAGAGTTCAGCCCTACCCACAACCCTAAACCCTAAACCCTAAACCCTAAACCCCTTAACCCAAACCCCTAAACCCTAAACCCAAAACCCTAAAGGAAACCCACAACCCTGAACTCCCGAACATTCGGAACACTCAACCTCACCCATCTCCACCTCGTCGGCCAATGTCAGCTCGACTACTGCTGACCTTAAGCCCATAATCTGATAATCTAAGGTCCAGTAAGGGGCCTTTATAAGTAGAGCTAGATTGACAATAAGAAACCCTCATTGTGGAGGATTACTAATTACGCAGGATTCTATATAGCAAGCCGCGACACCTTTACTTACCGTTGCGTAAGGGGGGAAGCAAGAGGACAGCCTCTCTCACGGAGGAAGCGCACTTGCATGCCACTCTCGATCATCAACCCCATCCCCTTGCTTACAGTAACCTTATAGTAGCCTATCAGTTCATACTATGGTATACCAATCCTTGTGGTAACCCTATAGTAACCTCGATTGCCATTCCGAAGACGCGGTGGATCCCATCAAAATGCCGCTGAAGCGCTGGGCGCTTTCATGCCTCGACAACTGCGGCTGCTGAGTTGCTAAATTCTGTGGTGACTACCAGTATGGTGTAGGCACGATGTAGGGTCTAGGGTTAAGAATGTATTCCTGGAAAAATGAGCTGTGCATACACATGGTGACCGGTGTGCATGTCATATGTGTGTGTGTGTGTTGATACACTCCCAAAACAGCATGTCAGAACTAATCGTCTACATTGACACAGAGCTGGTATGGTGCAAGCATGGCTTCGCCAAGACCATGTAAGGATATTGGTGCAAGGTTTGTGACGGTCTTGACTGATTGAAGATAACCAAGCCTCGAAGACGTGCTTAATAGTCATGGGCGCTGAATATGTGGTCTAAGTCTGACAAGGAAAGTGCCGAAAAGAACTCGTTCACGCACACTCCGCTGAAGGCCCTTGTGCATGAGACAAGTCTCTAAACCCTAAACCCTACACTACACCCTGGAGACAACTTCGTAGTTCCTGTGCCCGAAGCTCTGCTTAGGCCCAAAGTGACAAATCAGGCAGTCGGGGTGATAATTAGCCTAGCTTAGGGTTTAGGGTTTATAGGGTTTAGCCTTTAACAACAATGTTTATGGTATATGGGACTGAAACGGAGCCTTATGTGTACCTGACTAGATCTGGAGATTCCCAGAAACGCCAATTACGTGTATGCGGGCTACTGTTCCCGGAATACATATGTCTTATGAAACCCATAACCCAGTAAGCTACTACATATGGGTCATTGGGATTCTAGGCTACCTTCATAACACGGCCGCCGCGATGCGATGCGGCGGTCGGATCTCGCGAGAGCCTCCGCTCACCAGGTTCTCCTGCGCAAGCCCCGTCCACCTCTTAAGAGGTATACCTTAAACCTCCGAATTTTACAGATTTGTTTAAGGGCTTCGTAGGGTTTAGACGGGCCCCTTCCGTTACTGGAGCACTGTACTTTCAACCATGCACATTTCCTCGTATGACCTAAAGAGAACTCCTCAGTAACAGGGTTTTGCTCTCCTGCGGCTTCGGGGCTTCAGGGTGTCAGGTCTCGGGATTAGGGCTCTGTGGCTCGCGAACACAAGATCCAAGGCCTTTCCAAGCTGAGGAATGCCAGGCATCTTCTTTCCCTAAGGGTCCACACATACTACTATTATGGAATATAACAAGAATGGGTCTTTTGGGACTTAATTCCATAATGGTAGTATATGCGGACCCTCTGGGTTTTGCAAAGACCCGGAAGTCCCAAGCTCCATAAGATCCATGAGAATACACACGTTTGTCCGCCCTTCGCCCCTCGCCCCCTCCTCGATCGACGGTGGACTCTCTTAACCCCGCCGCTCACTGGTGTGGGGTTGGTTCGAGATTGGGCCTTAGAATCATCGTCATGGTTGGTGGACCCTCCTCCCCCCACTATGCTTGTATGGCTCGGGGTATAAACACTTGGGTGCGGCAGTGAGTGACCATGCGCCGAAACAGGGCGGTGGCTGCGGCGGGGATTCCCTGAGGCCCGGGGGGGGGGGGGGGGGNNTTTTTTACTACATATCTAAAAAATATATATATATATATACACACGTACACATGCACACATACACAAGTCGTATACATAATTATGTATGTAGACACAGTTCTGTACGTATGTATATACATATAAAATATATATATATATATATAGGTATGTACGCAGATGAAAGTTTTCGGAGTTCGTTGTATTTATACTTACATGAAAAGTTACGTGTATGTACCCTGAACCCGTGCCATCTGAATTTCTTCATGAGAGATCCCCCCAAACCCTATAAGCTTCCCGAAACGCCTAAACCCCTAAACCCCTAAACCCTAAACCCTAAACCCTAAACCCTAAAACCCTAAACCCCAAAACCCCTGCCCGGCCCGCTATATTTCGGCTCCTGGGTCATCTTGCTGAAGTTCACCTGCATCTCTAGGGTTCAGGGTTTAGGGTTTAGGGTCCAGGTTTTTTGGGGTTCAGGGTTTCGGGTTCAGGATTTTTGCGGCGTAGCGTGCGGTGAAAATATTATATGCGGGGAAAAAGATTTCCTAGACTAGACATAAGCCACATAAGTGCGAGGCGCATTCATGCTTGAACATAACTTCTAAGGGTCCAAGTACTCAAATAGTAGGGTTTCAGGTGCCAAAAACCATTCAGGAAAGGGAATTTGGGACCTAAAACCCTACTATTTGGGTACTTGGACCCTCTGGGAACGTATTCACATTCAACTTTTCCCTTCTGTCCGACTTACGTTTCCTGTGAACACGCAGAGATTTGGAGCAGGCAGATGGCTTGCGATTAAAGCTCTCTCTGTGTTAGGACACGACCCGAGCCCCATAAACCTTAAACCTGCAGACTCAACTCTTTATCGTTTGTCGCCTTTCTCAAAACCTAAACCCTAAACACATAGCCCTAGGCATCCCATGTACGGACAGAATCATCGAGATGTCCATCTTGGCCACTACTGCTGCAGTCATTCGAAAGCATCCAGATCTAGTCTTCCTCACCTTAAACAATCCCTGGGTTTGGGTCGCTATTGCTGTTAACAGCTGCGTTTGGAGGGTGCGGGCGCAGGAGTTCGGAGTGTCAGGGCTCTTTTGTACGTTCTGGAGGCCATGCAAGTCCGAAAAGAACCTGGTATTCCTAAAGCACTAAAGGCCTTCAATCTTACCTTCGGTTAGTAGGGAATGGAGGAATGGGTACAATTATAACTACTATTACTACCATTCTTCCATTCCCTACTAACCAAAGGTAAGCAAGTCTCGCCTGCACACCAAAGAACTGCAAAAAACGAAGGATCTGTTCGGACGCTGAGTTCTGAAACCTGATCGTGACACCTTTACCCTACCTACCTGCACCAATCCTGCTGAAGCCCCGTGGCAAAATGCATGCCGGTGCTATGCAACACCCTAAACAAGCCCTCCACCCTAAACCCCTAAACCCTAAACCCCTAAACCCTAAACCCCTAACCACCTATAGGCCCTATAACCCCAAGGTCGCTTCCACATGGCCACCCCCTGAAACCGGCCTCGTACTTCTCCTATCGGGGCATGGGAGGCTCAGGGGACTGTAGGGTTCAGGGTTTAGGCGTTTAGGGTTTTAGGGTGTAGGGTTTAGGGTCTAGGTGGTTAGGG